GAGTTTTTCTTTCTCATCACACTCCTATGTATTGCGACATCCAGAGTTCTATTCAGATTGCTCACAACTCGATTTTCCACGTTGAGATCGATTGTCAGCTTGCAGATTTCTTTGTCCTTTGTTTCTTCTTCTTCTTTGCAGTTTGCAAATTTCTTTACTAAGTCGCATTCTATTTCCCGTTTTCGTTTTCTGGTTGGCAAACCCTCGATACTTGTAACTGCCGCATCCTGAGTTTGAGGGGAGATGTTAAGAAATATAGGGTTAAATATATGGCTATTTTATTTTATTGTTTATTAAGGGTGGAATAATCTTTTTAATTTCCTTTGTTTAGCCTACATATAGTATCTTGATTTCTAGGTTAATTCATTCTTTTGTATTCAATTGCATTATGCATAATTAATGAAACCCTAGCCTCCTTTTCCTTTTCTTTATTTTCTTTTGATTGTTTAACAATAATAAACTTTGAAAATCATCTCATTTATCACTAAACTTTGCAAAGTGATCCCTTGGAAAACTTTTCCAAAGTTCAGTGACCCTGTGGAAATTTTTTTGTAAAGTTTAGTGATGAATTGAGTGATTTTTAAAGTTCAGCAACCCCGTGTAAACTTTTTGCAAAGTTCAGTGATGACTTGATGATTTTTAAAATCCAGTGACCCTGTGAGAACTTTTTGCAAAGTTCAATGACCATATGAGTTATTAACCCATATATATATGTATAGTAATCAACTATTAATTTATCTTAAAAAAATATCAATAAATAAGTTTTTGTTAACTTCACACATCGAAAAATTAGCGCGTACTTCACATGAGGAAATATAACTATAAGTTTAATGAAATTTTGTTGAAACTTAAAACTACAGAATATGGAAATGGAACTAAATTTTAAGGATTGACAAGTCAAAATATGAAGGTTAGATACAAATTTGCCAATTGGACTAAAGACTAAGGACTAAATAACCAATTTTCTAAAGAAAATAGAAAAAAATACCTTTAGCAATCAATCATCCCACATGTACATATTTTTTTACTTCTTTTTTACATTGTACCACGTGACGATAAATGATTAAACAGTTTTAAAAAGCACAATTTTCCATCCAACACTTTTTGAACTCCCACAATATACAATCAGCAACAACAAATTCATTCTCAATAAACTAAAGGCTTAACTTATATTTGATTTTGCTTTCATATTATATTAATAAAAAAGTAGGGGGTTTGATGGCCGGATCCCGATGCACTTAATTAGAAAATACAATAGACAAGTATACCATTCCTCGTTAATCATGTTCACTCGTACGAAATTAAATATATCAAACATGTGAATAATGTTTAAGATCAAATTCATTTTTTATTTTATTTGAAATCTTCTTTTAATTTAAGGATTGATATTATTACACCATTGTCCCAGTTTGATTTGAATTAAAATCTAGATTTTAAAATTTGGATTTTAATTTAAGTCAAAATTAATAATTAATTTTACTTATATATTTCATGGATTCTAAAACTTTTCAATCACACATATTATTAGCTTTTATCAAAATTTATTATAAATTTAATTTTAATCCTTACCGAATAGGGCATTAATGAAAAACATAGCCAAAAAAATAAAGTAGCGAATGAACAAGCTTACAAAATCTTGAAATTCAAGGAGGTAAACGGAAAAAGTTCAATCACAAGTTCAAAATTTTTAAATAAAAGCGTAAAAAATAGAAAAAAAAAGGGTGCCAAACTCAGCAAATAAAGTGAATATTAATCAAATAAATTACATTTTTTAAGATGCAAATAAAATTAAAGGAAAATTGCCGGTTGAGGTTTCCAAATATTGACCCCAGTAGCACTTTGGTCCTCATTCTTCATCTTTTGACCCTTGTATCTTCAAACATAAACCATGGTTATACTTGGGGTCCTATATGGACAGTAATGTCCATCCTGCCTTCATATTCAAGCTAATTTTATGAATACTTTCATCATATTTTTCATTTTACCTCGACAAACTGTGTGCGACAATCTTTAAAAACCCTAATTTTCCTTCTTTGCGTTGGTAGTCCACCGGAGCCCTAATTTTTTAAATAATACTACTTGTATATAATGGTTTACATATAAATTAGGTGCCAAAAAAAGAGTGAAAATTTTTATTTTTTTTTTTTGAAATTTTTTTAATACAATCATATCTCATCACACGTGTATGTAAACTATTATATACATGTAGCACAATGTAATTTTCTTGCCAAGATTCCCTTAGCCCACTTGATTAGGGAAGATTCCAAATTAGGACTTTAGAGAGTTGTCTTGCACGATAATGTAGTGGAAAAAATGGAAGAGTCGACAAAAAATGTCCTAAATTTAGCACCGGTTGAACACAACTTGGAATTTGATGGCAGAATGAACGATAACTATCCATCGAGAATCCAAAATATGACTATAAGACTAAGGGCTCAAATGCCAAAATATAAAGAATGGTAACAGAAGTGCTACTAGGGTCAATGTTTAGGTATCTCAGCTGAAAATTTAATTTCCCAATAATTAAATGTTCATAGCCTTTTACAAGATTCGGGTACAAAATGAAACGGACTTGTATTAAATGGGCCCACTAAGAACTTCAATGTACAGAGTCAAAAATCGAAGTTCAAACAGCAAAAATAGAGAATTTTTGAAGGAAAATCTGAAACAAATTTGACAATAAATGGAGAAAAATTTCTACAAAATGGAAAAGGAAAAAGAAAGGAAGGCCAAAGCTATCCCGCCTGATACACACCAGAACAGTAGGTACCAACCACATTAAAATTTCTTGGATTTTTCTTTGCTGAAATTTGAAATTTTTGTAATTGCAATGCCACGTTTCAGAAATCTGCATGTATTACACTTTTCATAGAATCCGGAATTTGGTTGCATTAATCTGTCATTTTTTAAATAAATTCTGGGCTGTCAAGGTCTGCGTTATTTCGTCATTCACTTACTGCTTCAACAGGTTTTCTATTGCATTTGCGGACTGCGGTTCATTTGTTTTGGATTTCCATAGAATTTCTCTTCGTTTTCTGGGTTTTGAGGGGAAAGAGTAAATGGCGGCTTCATCTTCCAGTTTGAAAGAAAAAAGAATGTCTGAAAATGTGGCTTCTGATGATGTTCTTTCAGAGGACGCTGAGGAGCAGTTATACACACATCTCATCCAGGCCGGGACATCTCTTCTAGAGCTCTCGTATACCAATGAGGAGCTCTTGCAAGAATTGGATGTAAGCCCCTCATTTCGGTGGCCAGAATTTACATGAATGTTTTTGTTTAGCCTACAGGAGGATTTTGCTTGAGTGAATTTCATTTTTATGAATGAACTCTTGAGGTTTTTGATTCTTCTTGTAGTTGATTTTTCTGTTGATTAGTTTGATAATCAAACTCTTTAAGGATTGTGGGCACTTAAGGATTTTGCTTTAATAGGTGGTTGGCAACAAACTAAAAACTCTTTCATGAATGATGGTTTTTCTTTCTATAAATTGAGACTATCTGTTAGAATTTATGGATGATTTGATTGTTTTACGGTAAAGAATGAAAATCTGAAGTCAATTCCTTTGGTAATTAAACTCTTTGTAGGCTGTCTTTATATCAATTGAGATCCATTTATGTTTGATTTGCTTTATGGATGATTTAGCTGATGCTTAATTGTGAAGCTTAAGAATTTGAAGTTAAAAGATCTTTTGATAATTAAACTCTTCGTTGGTCGATGATGTCTTGTTGGATATTCATAGACAAGGTCTTAATCTGCAAAGTTTCTCACTCATTGAGTGGTCCTTTTCGTGTGAATAATTGTTGGTTTAGAAGTGTTAGCCTCATTGGAGTTAAAATGTTGTTGATGTTCAAAACATAAGAAATTTTTGAGGGTTACAGCTAAGTTGAGTATAAATTTGGCCATGTAACTGCCGATGGAGAAAAGCAACTACAAGTAATTTAGTCTGGATGATGGACAAAAATTCTAAAAGGGGTTATTTTCGTTGCATTGTTTTATCAATCTGATGCATAGGTGAAGTGATGAACTGTGGAGAGGCATGGGGTACCAGCAGCCTTTACTAAATATTGAAACTTTTTTATGACCATCAACGTCAGTGCAGGAAGAAGTGCTTTGGTTAAATCTCAAAACATACACATACTAGACAATTCAGAGAATAAAGGTATAAAATCGGAGTTGACCACTTCTAGACAGTTTAGGTTACAATCTTGTTGTAACATTGCAGCATGAGAGATCGTGGAGTGTTTTATGTATTCTTAATTCTGTCAATCACTTTTGGTTCGTTGAAGGGGCAGCACTGAAGGATTTGTAATTGATTGCATAAATGGACAATGGAGGAAAGCCAGAGATATTTTTCATTATGAATGACTTAGGATGAATTGCACAATTGAACTGGAACCTTAACTTATGTGGTAATTGTTTAGATCTAGAATCAGGTTTCAGTAATGCAAAGAAACCTTGATTGTACAATTGTACTTCCTATTTCTCTATTTCGCTTTCATATTTGTTAACTTTCATATCTTCAATATCCACAATTCTCTGTTTGACATTCACAGTGAAGATGTTTGACTATAAAAGAACGTCGATCTTATCTTTTCAGTATTTTGATAAGTCACTACTCCGTGTATCATTATATGTTTTCCTTTCTTTAGATAGCGTATAAATGAAATCTCTGGTTTTTGTTGGGCATGTAGAAATTAGAGAATCTCTTGTCAAAAATGAGACAAGGGATGAAGCAAAACAAGACAATGAGAAAGGTGCTGCGACCTGCAACGAAGGCACTGGTGGGACTCCTGGGACATGGAGAATGGGATGTCAAGATTTCCGTGACATTATGCCTCACTCAGCTAATGAGAATAACAGCCCCTAATGAGCCTTTAGAAGATGATTACATGAAGGTACTAACTACTATTGATTGATATGCTGCCATTTCTTCTTATTAATCATGTGAAATCATTGATTCACTAGTGTTTGATTTTGCATTTAATTGTTGTACAGGAATATTTTCAGTTGGTTGTGATGGCATGTGAAAAATTGTCATGCATGGCTGGTCATGGCTATGTGAAGGTTTTATCAACACTTCAGGTGTTTGCAGATGTGCATTTATGTGTTGTGATGTGCGATTTGGAGTTAGATGCACTACTTTTGGAGTTGTTCCAAAAGTTCTTAAATACCATACAGTAAGTGTTCTTCCAGGTTTACAATTTTTTATCAGTACACCTGTTCATTATCCTTCTTTCTCTCTACATTGCCTCTTTTTAAATCTCGTAAGCTTCATACTTTTCTTGAAGTGCGAGTATTTAAGTAATTATGACATATTATTTCGAAGTTCCAACTTCTTTATATGGAACAAGCATTTTATCATTTGGAAATCCCAACTTGGCACATCTTATTTTTCTGTGTTCTAGGTCGTTCCGATGAGGGCTCAATTTAGTTTCTTTGGCTAGTTCTTTAGCAGTGGGATTCTTCAAGGACGTTTATATGGCCATGTCGCATGTTAGCAAATATTTTGTTCCCTTAAATAATGGCTCATTGCTTGTAGAAAGGAATAGAAGTATCTCGCATGAACCCAATAGTTGGCTTTTGACTTGTTCCCCATTGGAAGAAAATGTAATGCTCAATGGTTTTTGGATAAATTAAAATGGAAAATCTCCTATTTGGAAATCAATTCACTGATGGCCATAGACTTAATAGTGATACCATGGTTGCATGTCAGCGTAATAATAGTGAGTTTCACTTTCTATTATCCCCAAACCCAAGGCCGTGTGATAATTTTGCAAGATTTAATGTGTTTAAAACTCACCTATTTGAGGAGTGGTCATTGATTACAATTTGGGAAATGGATACCATGGTAATGCTGAGATGCTATCTTTTTAGCTCATAATTTCTACCTTCCCATGTTAAATGCTTTGATACTTCATGCATCAAGAGTCCTTTTTTGTCTAATTTCTTTCTATGTCATTGTTGTAGAAACAAAAGCTATGTTAGGTATGACTTTCTATGGTCTTGTTACTATAGCCAGCTTTGATTTCAATAAATATTTCCATTTTGATTGATAATTATTGTAATAATAGGCAATTAATGCATTCACTAAGCAGCAAAATTAGCTCAAGAAAAGCTAGAATGCGTCATATGCATATTCGGGAAAGTATTTGTATATGTGTGCGAGAGCTTTGCAATTGATTTACATGGTAACATGAAGTGTGCATGATTTCTTGAAGAAATTTTCTCGGTCGCAAATATTTACATCTGACTTTAATTTGTCAATTTTAGGTCTATCCAGCTTCCTGTTGTATTTAGTAGCATGGAGAAAATCATGATTGTGGCAATAGACAGCAGCAATGAAATCTCATTGGATCTTTTGCTTGTCCTTCTAGCTAGTGTAAAGAAGGAGAATCTTGTAATTGAACTCAATGTTCAAAGTTCTTTGATTTTTATCTTACCTCCTTATGACTATATTAATATATTCCTTCTTTTTTTTTTTTTTCCTTTTTTTCCCCTATGTTTCAGTGTCTATCTCCTTTTTCATTCAAGTTAGGGGAGAGAGTTCTTCGAAAATGTGCTTCTAAACTCAAGCCATATCTCCAAGAAGCAGTGAGCTGCGTGGACATTTCTTTTGGAGAGTACACTAATATAGTTGCATCTATATGCCAGGGTGCAACTCAAAGGGAAAATATGGTTGTGTTTCTCTTCTAGTCACAACTAAAGTTATACTGAATGTGTGTTTCAATATGAAAATGTGGATAATTGTTATTTTATTGTTTTTCAAAGTTTAAACTTTACATTTTGTGGTCGCCGCATCTAAATGGTGGAAAAAGTGCTAATTTTTTTCTATCTTGACATGAAGTATAGACTAGTCAATGCTAATTGTGTGTTTCATTGATATGCTTGCTTATTCCTATGCAATCTTTAATGAAGTTGATCCTAGTTACGAAAAACTATATATGCAATTTTTTTTAGTTGTGCAAATCTCAATTAAAGAAAACTAAAAATAAAGAAAGATTCTAGTCATCAATTGATTGTGTCTGTTTATGAGTTGGAATCAACAAAATTTCCAACACTACCTCTTCAAGATGGCATCTGAAGATCTTGAACACCTTTTCTGGACAATAATGATGGAAGATATCCCCACCAAGAGCTTTAGTACAGCCATATTCTTGCTAGTTCATTATGAGGGCGAAAAACTTGGCAGAAATAATTCCTTTCTGAACCTTCTTGCAAACTAGATGACGGAATATTTCTACGTGTTTAGTTCATTCATGAACTCAAGTCAATGCCTTACCAACTCCTAATCGACCTTCAAATCTTTTATCTAGATAGATGATTGGCTGCTGCATGAAATTCCGAAAATGAATGCCAAAGTCTTCAAGTAAATAGAGTACTCATCTAACTTCACAATACTCCAACATGGAAGTTGAAAAATATTGTATCAACGTATAGTGCATTGTGATAGAATGTTGAGAATGAGTATGATGTTAAGTTACTAAAGCATAGGCAAGCGAAAAAAACTAGATGCAAAAAAGAAGGATTCCTTTACGAAGTCGACCATTCCCATCAAGTAATGTAAGAATCTCCAATCAACATAAATTGCTTTGTGAATCCTTTATTCAACTTACTCAACTTTTGATTCTGTTTTCAAACGACATGCGCCAAGGAGACTTAACTTTTCAAGCAACTCAAGGACAACTTATCATTGGTCGATATAAACTTCACTCTTTAAATGCACAAAGGAAAATAGTTTATCAAGCTTTTTACAAGGGCGAACTCAATCATCTTTTACATGGATCTCTATTGAGGGACACCCGTTCCTTAAGAAAGCTACCGATTACCATCCATGTATAATCCATGCTAAATTTGACCAAATGTGCACCCTACCTTCTCTACGTTCTTGACCGCCCATCTTTGTCACATTAGAGTCTTTTAGTGGCATATTTCGGTCATCTTCCCTATTACTTAGAGAAAGTGAGCCACAGGTACAATTTTAATGCTAAGAGGGTTTTACATATCTAAGGCCCTTACTTTAAACATATTTTGAAGAAATTCTATCATGAACTAAATTTCTTTTAGATTATCTTCGGCAAGAATGCTATTATTAACATAGACAAGAATATAAATAATAGAATTATTCATTATAATCATTAACTATTAGTTTCCTAAATTTAACTATCAACTATCTTAAAAAAATAATTTCACATTGAATAAAGATGAAATAAAATCAACATATAAGGGATTTAGCTACTCTTTTTATCAAGGGTTGATCTTTTAAAATAGATCCTCAAGTATGAGTATAGTATGAGAGCTAATTAAGTTCATTTGAGCAATTGTTTTGACTAAGATTCAAACGAACATACGAATTTCAAGATTGGTGTTCTCGAATAAGCTACTATCCTGTGGGGTATGTTAAGTGATAAATCCCATAATAAATAAAGATAGAACTAATAACCAACATATAAGGGTTTGAGATACCCATTTTAACAAGATTGGCCTTTTAAATGGTATATCAAATTTTAATGAACTAGATAGCTTTGCGAATCACTGACCTACACCTTCCTTTAAGCTATGTAGAGATTTCTTGTTTACAAACCGTATTCTCATTTCTTGATTTTTGAAAACCTAGTGGGAGTTGTGTGTAAACTTTTTCCACTAAATCTACGGAAGAAAGCATGACATAAGTTATGTTGGTGAAGATGCTAAGTTTAACTGCTGAAACAATTAGTAGAGTTCTTATTGTGGTTAACTTGGCCGTTGCTGCAAAACTTTCCTAATAGTTGTGCCCTTCCTGTTGGTTAGAACCTTTAGCTACCAAACGAGCTTAGTAACAATCAATGGTGCCGATGGGTTTATTTTTTATTTTATACACTCATTTACAATCTATAGCCTTCTCGGGGGGAAAGAAGTGAGTTCCAAAGTGTATTTATCCTCTAAAGCTTTAACTTCTTCTCCTATGCCTCTCTCCACTTCCTATCAAGCATTTTTCTTGTTTAAGAAAGAATAGTGAAAGGGAGAGAATTTGTCTCATGATAAAATCTATTGTATTGGTGTGGAGTACTTGTAGATGAAGAACCTTGAAATATGGAACTAATACTTTGTTGGAGTTCGAAAATCCTCGGACCATTAATTTGCAATGATATTTCTTCTAGAACCAACCAGAGGTCTCTAGTTGTTTTTGTACAGATAGCAATTCCTGCAAGTCATGGGATAATCTATGATGCTCGAATTTGGATACAGGTATCGAATACGGGTACGTATCTGAGTGTCGAATATTTTATTTTCTAAACTATATGATACATGGATATAGCTAAAAAGAGTCCAAATTTCGGACACAGGTACGTGGGTACGTCTTTCAAATTTCAATTTTTTTATTAATCCAAGATGTCATTTTGAAT